TCTCTCTCTGTTTTCACAGGAGGTAACATCTTCCTTGAGACTTTCTTCAACTAAACGCTTTTTTTCTGTGTTTCCAAGCAAATTATTGGTCATTTTGAAATTTATTTTACATATTGACAATATATAGCGCAGTGCAGTGTTATTTTAAAGAAAATATTCTTTATTTACAACAAGTTAAACTTTGAAAAACACGTGTTGACATTGTTTGAATCCAGCATGGGGCCTAAGAGATCAAGAAAATCTATTTCAATCCAAACCAAGCAGGAAATCATGAAAAAAACATGAACAAGGCATTAAATCAAATGTGCTTAGCAAAGAATATGGCATGTCGGCATCAACTGTGTCGACAATTCTTGCGCAGAAAGACAAATTTAAAGAAGTGAAAGTGAGAGACAAATCTACAAGAGTGTTTAAAAGTAGATCCCTAATCGCAGAAACCGAGAGGTTACTTATCATCTGGATTAGGGAAAAACAGATGAATGGTGATTCAGTTTCTGGTGAATTCATTTGTGAAAGAGCCAGGGAGATTTATGAACATTTAAAGGCAGATCAACCTGGTTCTTCAGGCACAGAATTTGAAGATTTTCGGTCCAGCAAAGGCTGGTTCAAAAAATTTAAGAAAAGAAGTGACATTTTAAGTGTTAGGCATGGTGAATCTGCTAGTGCTGATAAAGAAGGGGCAGCAAAGTTTTTAGATGAATTTAAAAAACTGATGGAAGAAGAAAATTATCTTCCACAGCAAGTGTTCAATGTGGACGAAACTGGGCTGTTCTGGAAAAAGATGCCCAAAAGAACATTCGTCACCAAAGATGAAGCCTCTTTACCTGGGCATAAACCCATGAAAGACCGTCTCACTCTATTGCGTGGTGCCAATGCTTCAGGGGATTTCCGACTGAAGCCTATGCTTGTCTACCACTCTGAAAACCCCAGGGTGTTCAAGCAACAGAAAGTGGTAAGAACAAAGCTTGGAGTTTATTGGAAGTCCAACCGTAAGGCATGGGTGACAAGACAGCTCTTTAATGAATGGGCTGTTGATGTGTTTTGCCCTTCTGTCAAGAGCTACCTAACCACCAATAAACTCCCTTAAAGGCTCTTCTCCTCATGGATAATGCTCCTGGTCATGACCCTGACCTTGCCAGAAATTTGGAGTATCAATTTGACTTTGTGAAAGTGTTGTTTTTGCCTCCAAACACTACATCAATCATACAGCCAATGGACCAGAATGTGATCAGCAACTTCAAGAAGTTGTACATGAAGAAAATGTTTAGGAGGTGTCATCAGGCAACTTCCAATGATCCTGAACTAACACTGAAACATTTCTGGAAGACACAATTCAACATCCTGGAGGCAGTAAAATTGATTGTGTCATCATGGCAAGAAGTCTCCACTAGATCCCTCAATTCTTCATGGAAAGCACTGTGGCCATCAGTAGTCCATGATTTTGAGGGATTTGAGGAAGAAACAGAGTTGGACCAGGAGATTGTGTCCATTGGTCAGTCATTGGACCTTGAAGTGGAGGAGGAGGATGTGGAAGAGCTTGTGATGTCTCAAGAGGAGGAACTTACTCCTGATGACTTGAAGCAACTGGATGAGATGTTACAGGTAGAGGCTGACAGTGGTGAGGAGGAAATTGAAAGTGATGACCATATATGTCAGCTAAACAGTTGAAAGATGTGATTTACCACTGGGAGAATTTCAGGGAACTGGCTTCAAAGCACCCAGAAGTGGAAAAACCTGAGCTAACTTTGTGTCATGTTGAGGACTCAGTGGTCTCCTTCTTTAAACATAAGTTAATGGTGAGGAGGACATATGCCCCACAGACCACAATTGACACTTTCTTCAGTAAAAGGCAGAGGGAACAAGATGCTATCCCTCAGCCTTCCACTTCAAGAAGGAGAGAGGATGTTCATGGTGGAGAATCTGTCAGTCCAGAGGTTCCTGACATTTTCATGGAAGGTGACTCACCTTCCAAGAAGCAGTAAAGTGCTTCTCCTCCACCTCCACTTCCTTCTCTTCTCCCTTCTCCTCCTCCACCCCCCACTTCAAATTCACATCATCATCATCATCCAGGAGCCTTCTACATACACACCTCAAAGTAAGTGAACTTTTCTACATTTTTTGTTGAATTTAGGCAATTTTCGGTGAGCTGGAACCAATTACCCAAAAACCCATTGAAACAATGGTTTCGGTTCACGAGATTTTCGATTAACGAGCAACCTGCTGGAACGGATTGTGCTCGTTAACCGAGGGACCACTGTAGTCTTATATAATAACTCCATCACCCACTTAACTGTCCATGAGCAGTGAGATGTTATGCAGTGATCATCTCTGTCTTCACTCCAACCTCATGAGAAACAGACGTTGATTCCCAAGCTTCACGGATGTTCTTGATGTCTATGCTTCTAAGATCCATAGCTCATTGAGATAGTTACAGTGATATTCCTTTTTGCAAGTGTACATAGAAACATTTTATAATAAACGAAGAAGAGGAACATTTGGGTTTTGCTACAGAAAATCCAATAAACTTTTATCTATATTTTAGTTCACTTACCTTTTCACCCTCTAAGGTCATTGGCGAGAGTATAAGGAGTAAGTGCCTAGAATACAGTGACCCCTCCGTTAACGAAACTCAATCCGTTCCAGCAGGTCGTTCGTTAACCGAAAAGTTCGTTAACCGAAACCATTGTTTCAATGGGTTTTTGGGTAATTGGTTCCAGCTCACCGAAAATTTCCTAAATTCTACAAAAATGGTAGAAAAGTTCACTTACTTTGAGGTGTGTATGTAGAAGGCTCTTGGATGATGATGATGATGATGGGATTTAGAATGGGGGTGGAGGAGAAGGAAGAAGAGAAGGCATTGGGGTGGAAGAGAAGTCACCCCATGGTGCCATTTCACCCATAAAATTTTAGTTCTCTTGGTGTAATTCAAGATTATTTTCTTTAAATCAACACTGCACTGCATTATATATTGTCAATATGTAAAATATATTTCAAAATGACCAATAATTTGCTTGGAAACACAGAAAAAAAGCGTTTAGTTGAAGAGAGTCTCAAGCAAGATGTTACCTCCAGTGAAAACAGAGAGAGACTAACTCCTGTTTGCTGTGTTAAGAGGCTGGATGCCGCACATTAAACTAGTCACTTTACCTTCAATTATGTTCAATAATTGTTAAAATGACTAAAAATTTAATATTAAACTTTTAAAATTATTGAATAGTATAAACTTCTTGATATTTACTAAAATAGTAAGGAATTTAAGCCCTAGAACCGATTAATGTATTGGCGGACTGATACTAAAGCTGGTTGCCCGGTCAGTGCAAGCGAAAACATGTTGAGGTCGGTTCGTAAGAACTTCGTTAACCGAATTTTTTTCGTTAACCGAATTGAAGATCCTTATGGAAGGCAGTTCGTTAATCGAAATTACGTTAACCGAGGTGTTAGTTAAACGAGGGGTCACTGTATAAGGTAACAGCTTTACAAGTGGCTGTTACAAGTGATCATAACCCAGGAAGGTTATTACATATATGACAACTTCACAAGTAGTTGTTATACAATGGTAACAGTCCCCTAGCAGCTTTACAGTTGGTAAAGGTAGAGATAAAATATTCTCCCCATTACTGAGTTACACTGTTACAAAGCTAAATAAAAATATTTACTAATTATTTAAATGTTCAGCAATAAGATTATTGGCAACTTTACAGAGGGCCAGTGTTGTGCATAATGCCTAGTCATTTTTTTAAACTACTTTATTTCTGAATTACTGTAGATCACACTGAAAGCTTAATATTCCACTCATTATTTAATAATTTATAATAGATACTTTGCCAAATGCCACTGATATAATTTAAGAAATTAAGTGAAGCCATAATTTAGATTCTTAATTAAATGGCAACTAGCTAAACATAAACAGTAGGAAATAGGACAACAAAGACTCTCACATCTCTCTTTAATTTAAATTGAACAATCGATTTTGAAAAAGTTGATGGTGAAAAGAGAAGTTTTATAATAGTGTTACAAAAGAATTCTGCAAAAAATCTTGGAGTTGAATTTCAATGTAAGTAAATATTTCTTGACTGCAAAATGATTTGAGGTAAGATATTTTAATTTTAGTAAAGTTTCTTAGGTGTTTCTAAAAGCTTGACGATCCTTATTTATAGACAGGCCATATCCTACTTGATAATTGATTTGATAACTGATATATGTGGGTGTTCTGCATGCCTCATCAGTGCAACCATTTCTCCCAATGACTCCCATTATATAAGTTGAGATGCATTCCTATGGAAATTTCCATAGGAATGCATCTCAACTTATATAATGGGTGTCATTTGGAGAAATGGTTTTGCATTACAGAACTTCACGATACGGAAAGATTTTCAGGAATTGAAACATTCCATAATCCGGGGGATGCCTGTAACATAATTGTTGAAGATATCATTCAAATTTGCAGAAACTGTCATTATTATCAGTGTCTTGTTAAATTAAGTAAATAAATTCCATTTTTTTTAATGGGTTTGTTTTCTTTTGTGTAAGATATTACACATTTATTACTAAAAGTATTTATTGTAATAAAGGATTTACTGCCCTGTACATGTTGGTTATCTACTCCTGGCAGTGTCAGATGGTCATTAACACTAGTGAGCTTCATCACAAAATAAGAGGACTCAATCACTTGTTTAAAACATGAAAAAAGAATCTTTGCTTCAATTCCTCTAATTGAACTTCCTTTAATACAAATTATAAAAGTTCATATTATTTATCTCACCAAGCCTCACTGGTACTAATTTTTTTATTTAAAATATATTAATTTTCATAATACAGAACTTCTTTTTATTTTTGGTGTATTAAAAGATGGACATTAAGTACTGTTTATACCTTAATTCCAATATTTTTCGAGATGTTAAATTACTGTGCAATATAAATACTGTACTGTGAAAACAAATAAAAATAATAATGTATTTATCATCTGATAATGACAGTCAATGGAAAATGAAACAACTGTACATGAATACTTTGTTTATTGATGCCTAACAACACAGAAATTATGTTTCTACACATTCTAGTCTTTATTTCATCCGTCCTATGGGGCGGATTTTGTTTTTACAAATGTTTTCTTCATGTACAGCATGACAGTACTCTTTACAGTTATCACAAAATTAAAAAAAGAAAGACCATTCTACCAACACGTTGGTAAGAAATATTTTGCATTATTCTATACATACTGCTTAAAACGTTGACTGTTTTATCAACCCTTTGTGAATTTTTGATGAAACAAAAATATCAAAAGGTGGGGGGTGGGGGGGATGAGGTGTCTATGATCAGCACATTCATTTTTATACAAAAACACATTCACTTGGCATTCTCTGGTTGGTGAGCGTCGTACAAGGGACTCCAACTCTCCTAAAAAATTATGTACAGTATTCTCCACAAAACTGATAACTATATCAGACATCTATATTACAGTGTCTTACAGCATGTGTACAATATGTAAATATGAAGGGCGGAGTGGCTGACCATCAGTGTGACTAAGCCCTCCTCACCCTGTCTAAGATGAGGAAAATTTTGAAACACCCTGTACAGCCGATGAAGACAGTTTTTACATGTTTGCTAAATGATGGAGTTGTGTCCTTGATTCATCAAGCCTAAAGGTCTACTGTCTTCATCCAGATGACCAGGGATGGAGCGATGAGTGCTGGAGAAAATGATATACAAGAAGCAGTCACATTCGTCCAAGGCAACTCTGACTTAGGCTCCAACAGTATCACATGACGGAAAGCTAAAACTATAATGTTGACTGATGCTGTGAATTCATGAGGCCAGGATCTATGAGACATGAAAAGAGCTGAGTACGAAGACTTATGGGAGCTGACTGGATGATGAGTCATGGGAAGCAGCGAGTCAGAGTGCGCACGGACGAATGAGCGAACAAATGCCTGAAACACAACACAGACGAAGAGGGCAGCACTTGGCCTCTATGTACATTTGTGACAATTTATGTACACTGCCAAAAGCCCTATAAATGTGTACACATGTTCAGTTGGGACTCATGGGGGATGTTGATCTGTTCACACTCATTACCATAACATACCTCTCTCATTTGTCCTGACCGTAAGGTTTAGTCATTTTTAAAAATATAACATTTGTTGTCATATATCTGTATACTTGTTGTAACAATCCTGTCAAAATTTAACCAACTATCAAATGAAATTTTTAAAAATATAACATTTGTTGTCATGTGTGAGTTAAGTAAGTTATTATTCACCAGTAAGTTTATTACATGTCAATAGATAATAGCAAGCGTAAGTCCATTTTCCAATGCATACAGGTACATCATTCAGAGGAGCAAGTCTGAGTCATTAGATGTGTGAGTTTGCTTAGTCACTAATGAGTTACTGGAGGTAACCAATTGAACTTGTCTCCAATAGTAGTCAAGTTTAAGAGTGTTCGGAATAAAGGAATTGTACCAAATACAGGGTGTTTATAATTCATTCACCTGATTATGGAGCTCAAAAAAAGTTTTACTGCAAATATATCATAAAACAGTTTGCAGCAATTAATAAAGCAATTCAGGTAATCTTTTGACATGTATTTGGCACACATAACTGCACTTCAGTAAACCTCCACATGGGCGCCTTTAGTAGCGCGTAGAATATCAAGACGGCAGTTGATTTCATTCCAGGTGTTATGAAACATGTCAAGCGTGATGGAAGCCAGTGCCTCTTCAATCCGGTGTCTTAACTCTGTGATATTATTAAACTTAATTCACATATACCTTGTCCTTAAAGTAGCCCCATAAAAAGAAATCCATAGGCGTGATGTCCAGGGAACGAGGAGGCTACAGAATGGGACCATCATGCCCGATCCAATGAGTACGGAAATCGCGCACTTGTCAAAAGATTACCTAAGTTACTTTATTAATTGCTGCAAACTGTTTTATGATATCTTTGCAGTAAAACTTATATTGAGCTTCATAATCAGGTGAATAAATTATAGACACCCTGTGCAATAAAACGGGAGATTAAAAAGTAAAAATGCCAAAAGTGCAAAGGAATTACTCCATTAAGTTAATACTTGTGTTGTACAGTACTGTACAGTATAGGGTAAAAGATTAAATTATAAAATTTTAAAATCTGTGTTTATATAGTGTAAACTATAAAACAATAAACCATGATACAACACTTGTTATTCACTATACACATAAATGTTACCTTATATAATATGTTAACTAAACATCATTTCTCTGACTTTTTCTTATATATTTGTTGAGCTTTTTCATTTGATTTTTTCTTGTAACCTAAGGTTTCAGTGTGTTGGATTTTTGCACATATTCATGGTGTATACGAGCACAATCCTCCTGTATGAGTGGAGTGGAGAATACTTCCTCTATGAGAGAACCTGTCCTTACACTTACATGATTGCACAAATAAGTCTGAAAATGAGTACCTAACAGCATACAGTATCACTTCACAATTAATGTCATATTTTATCATGGAAAAATATTTAGCAATAATATTTTTCATTGTTTCTCGTAAGTGTGCAATGTCTTTCAAGATCAATTAAATTATGCATACACATAAAACTGTGCAGTATAGTACATGTAAATAATTCCACAGTGGTCAATCATTATAGTGTACAGTAGTAATAATCACTAGTATTTCAAAGGAAAAAATCCTACCAAATATATTCTTAAAATATTTTGCATACCGTAATAGATGCTTTTGTTCCTCAGCATAGATGATAAGATACAAGGGTTAATGGACTTACAGCCAAAATGTATGTCAGTCATTCTTCTTGTGAGAGTAAAGTCTTCATTTTGAGTAACTCCTGATGTGTTATGAACTTGTCCTTTGTCTGTATTACAACACTTTGATCTGTCAGTCTTACATAATTTATATTGGTAATTGTCAGGTCAATTGGACACTTAACAATCGCCCCTACCTAGCACTGATGATTGGCCAGTGGTCCATACTGTGTACATATAGGATGGCTGCTCAGGCCTCTCACTACACTACAACAACACCCTGCATGTCTTGTCACTCTCTCACAAGACTCACATCATCATCAGCATATATATAATCTTCAAATTTAACATGTTCCCATCCTCAAGGGACAGGAACTTAGCCTAAAGCAATCTCAAGTTTTGGTTTCATTTGATGCTGACTTGTGGAATCATTGCACTATATGTGATCCAGACATGCAATCCAAACGCTTTGCCGACAAAGTATGCTGTCCCTTGTTTTTCTACAAAATATTGCACTTCTTACAAAAAATGAACTACATCATCTTCACACAAAAGGAACACTATCACTTCATCTGAAAAAAATATTCTCACAGTGTCGACTTTCAAAACCAATTTTTTGTATTTTTTTTTCAAGTTATTATCAAGTCGACATCTGAACCAAATTTTAGTTCCTGGTGGTGAAGCGCACATAAGGACTCTGAGGCTGATCCAAGCAACATCTCAGCACGTCCACTGTGGCAGTCTGCATTATGATACAAGTCACACCTCGCACACAACACTAATACTTCTGACATAATGACTGATTAACCCGTAAGATGCAGTTAAACTTTGGCAGGCGCGAAGACAGCCACGATTGTCAGAGTAAAAGAAAAATTGTAATAAATACTATTTAAAGAAAAAATTAAGATCTTAGTTGTGATAATCTTTCAGAGGGAACCATCGTGATAGTCACACAGTAAGAATTATCAAATAAATGATAGGTAAAAAAACATAGGCCTACCATATGAGCAAATAAGGTAGTGCAACACCTCAATAAATCACCCTTATCTACTTAAATGCCAAACGAAAGTTGCTTCAACACCTTTGTAGAAAAAGTTTCATCCAACATGGAGAAACACTACAAAGGGAGAACTGAATACTAACACAGATAATTGTAATGTCAACTCAAAGATCCCAATCGTGTCTTAATCTCAGCCCAGATAGGCCCATGGTGCAGGTGGGCTGACCAAAGCTCTGCTGTAACCAGCATCTGGCAATCTCTCCCATCGTGCAGCATAACCGGGTGCAGCAGCAACGGCACTAACAAACATGTCACTTCCTTGTGCCACCTCCATGACTCTGAGATTCGTAGGCATATAAAGGCTTAATCAATAACCATATTGCACTACTGATATATGTGAGTTTTAACCAACATAGTGAAGGTTGTAGGAGTTTACAGTTTAATCAATATATTGCTTTCTTTTGGCTGAGTTTGTGGTGGTGGTGAGGGTGGTGGTGGTGAAGGTGGTGCCGGCCAGGCCAACCATAGTCCCTGAGTGGGCAGAGAGCCAGTGGGCCTCAGTGTGGTGGTGGGCAGAGGGCCAGGCAGCCTCACTGCCCATGTGATTACTGGCAGACGGCAGGGCTGTGAGTGTCAGAGCCAGTCAGCTTCAGTTCAACTAAGGGGGAACAGGTCAGGTCAGGTTAAGTATGGAGTCACTGCTCTACAGTGGGTGAGGAACCATTGGCATGACTTGTGTCTTGAGCACTGGTCTGTGACACCACGGTGGAGTATAAGGTCTTTAACAATGACTATGCAGGGAATGAGCCAAACATAACCAACTTGTACAGATAGAACATGATGACCTATCCCCTATGATAACCCTTGACCCCAAAGGTATGAATGAAAGTGTGCCTGAACTCTGACCCCAGGTAAAAGGTCAAGTGGTACTGGGGTCTGACCCAGGTGGACTGAGAAAAGTTACTAACCCCAGATACACAAAAAAGTTTCCTGACCCCCCACAGAAGGCCATTGACCTTTGACCCTAACTTGAGAGCGAGATATAAATGAGGTGAGGAAGGTGAGCGCCCATGACCTGCATGTCAGCGCCACTACTGACACTCTGCACCACAGCTCCTGCTGCTCTGACTCAACAGAGAGAAGCTCAAGAGACCCACAATAATATGTTACTGCACTTCTTATAATGTTTTCTTCTCTAAATAAAATGCAATTTGTGTAAATTCTAAAAAACAACAAAATCTGTGAATTGTCACACACCATCATCTTCGATGAAATTTTCCATTGTGCTAAGTATAAAATGAGTATAAAGTCTTCATCCCCAGTCGTTAATACCATAAGGTTTTGATTGCATTACCAAACCAGGAGGTTGACTGTGGGTGTGGGCGGGGGCGGGCGGGTGTGTGTGAGAGTCTGGGTTGGGCGTGGGCATAGCAGCGTCCAGCACCGTGCCACCCGCACCACCGCCCGCACACCGCCCTTTGTGAACAAGGCGAGATCATAGAGAAGTTGTAATATCAACCAAATAATGTGTGGGCGCTGCCCCCCCACCCCCTGGGTGGTGGAGGAGCAGCCTTGGCGCCCAGCCACCCTCCTCATTGTCTTCATCAGGAATAAATATGGGTGGTGGAGGGTGGCGCAGCAGCAGCACTAAGCCTAGGATGTTGCCCGTGCTCAACGACTAGTGGGTGTGGCGGCGGGCGTGGTTCTGGCAGCGGGTGTGTGTGCCAGGGGGTGGCGGCGTGGGCGAGTGTCCCGCCTCACACGCCGCGCCCACCCGCCGCAGTTCACTCTGCACGTGCCCAATACTGCCACAATTGCACTTTGGTCTGGAGATATGTGAGCGGCGTGGCCCCCTGTGTGTGTAGAGCATCACCAGAGGGTGTGGGCCGCACCACTGGGCGTGAGGGTTGGTGGTGCTTATTGATGAGGAGGGGCGGCGGGGCTCAGGTCACCGGGTTGGTGATCTGTGGTAGCTTGGTGTGGTGCCGCGGGTGCATGGTGGAGGCGCCCCCATCGTCCGTAATGGTGGCCCGCAATTTGGTGGCTGACGTGGCGATGGTGTTGAGCTTGGTGGCAGAGGAGGGTGTGCGGGAGGACGAGGAGGATGAAGGCGTGCGGAGGGTAGAGGCAGGAGAATCACTCTTTTCAGATGGAGGTTTGGGCAGTCGTCGACGTAGCCAGCCATGACGGAGGGCCTGGCTGGGTGTCATGCGTGTCGCCGGGTCCCAGTCAAGACACCGCTGGATGAAGTCCAAGAAGAGGGGGTCATTGCAACCCTTGAGCGCCGTCTGCAGGGACTTTGAGCCAGGTGGTCCGCGGGGCTTGCCTCTGCGGGACTGTCCACCATGTAGGATGGTAGAGCCATCAGGGAGGGTACGGGTGACACAGTACCGAGGGTAACCCTTACTGGTGATGAAGTTCTTGGCACGTTTACTCTGCTCCAGCAGCTTGGTAGGCGGCATCCCAAGCAGCTCAATGATGCACGCCAACTGGTCTGCCTCGTCCTGCCGGGATAAACTGTGTTAATTTTTCACAATTTTATATATATACTGTATATATATATATATATATATATATATATATATATATATATATATATATATATATATATATATATATATATATATATATATATATATATATATATATATATATATCAACCTCACCAGCAAGGAATCCAACCTCACCTGAGTGTGACTAGGAATGCTTAAGCTGAGCCACAAGGACACAAGGTCGTTGATTATATGTTCAAAGTCCGCGTGTTATATGGACTAAAATAAAGTATATATATATATATATATATATATATATATATATATATATATATATATATATATATATATATATATATATATATATATATATATATATATATATATATATATATATATACACAAGTAAATCACTGTAGGTGTGCGTGATCCAGGTATATGCTGATAACCACAAGGAAGGAAGAAAACACGAAGTTCCCAAGTGCTTTCAAGTAATTCACATCTTCAGGGGTGAATACAGACTAAGGAGAAGTACATAACAAGGTATATATATACAGAGGAGGGTGAGATCACGAAAGCGCTTGGGAACTTCGTGTTTTCGTCTTTCCTTAAAAGTGAGAGTTTTGTGGTGCTGAGACGAAAAAGAGACACCCATTTTAGATTTTTTATGTATTATTTAAGCATTTTCGACTTACGACCTGGATCTGGGTCCCTAACTCAGTCGTAAGTCGGGGAGGAGCTGTATATACGTATATGCAAATAAATCACTGGTGCTGATAATCACATAGGAAACAAGAAAACATGAAGTTCCAAAGCTCTTTTGTGTAATCACATCTTCAGGGGTGAGTACAGGTACGTGCAAATATACAGTACCTGTAAATACAAGTAATATCTCCGTTAGCCGGAATCCCTCAAACCCGGAACTCCCCGATAACTGGAAATTATATTTTCTTGGAAATCGGTCCCAGAGCCGGAATTTTCTAAAGTATTCCAGCTTTGGGAACGATATTCCGAGGGGCACATTTTCCGGAAAATTCCAAGAAAATTTTCCCGATACCTGGAAAATTCCGGGATGGGGACGCCTTTTTCCGGGTTTGAGAGATGAAAATCAGGCGCATTATCCGAAAACATATCACTCCAAGGAATATACACCATCACATTATCAGATGTAAGTTAATATGCTGTACACGTAAATTATTTTCTAATTATCAACTGCTATGTTATAATACTGGAAAATGATTAAGAATATACTTATACCTGTACTATGACCCATAAACTGTGAATCCACCTATTGATATTTTGAAGGATACTTTTTTTTTTACTACTTTATTATGTACAGAATAACATAAAAGTACCAAGAAATTATGTAAATAATACAGGTGGTGAGGAATTATTGTAGTTGCAATTTTTTTTTAATTGTTCCAAGTCATTGCAAAGGTTGCCCCTCGTGTACGATGATGGCCATGTGAATTTGTTGAAGGTGTAGAACCTGTCGTCAACATGCTAACATAAAAACCACACCCTAAGTCAGTGGTTCCCAACCTATGTTCCAGGAAGAGGTGCCATGGGTTCCGTGGGACAGCACACATCTGATACACATCCAACTTGAAAAGTTTAGAATTTTGACAAGCTAAAATGCACTGGAGTGGTAGACTGGAAATTATTGAACTGGTGAATGTGAAAGGCAAATGTATTTGTTTTGTGTAGTTGTTTAATGTCATATTTTTTATAAAACATTTTTACATATAAGTGTATAGGATACCAAATAAAACCTTCGCTAAAATTTAATTCCGCTAAGTTGCCATCACTAGTGGACTTTCACATTGCCACGACACAGCGACGGCTATTGGTGTTGCCTTATCATCTGTCCTAATCACTCACGTCCATCCACCGTTCGTGTTGCACTGTGTTTGAGATGTAACATTGGTTAAAACACTGCACCTAAAACCAAAGCCCCAAGTTGGTGATGATCATGCTGGTATGTCTGGTCACTCTGACGAACAAGGAGGTTCACGTACTGATGAGGTGGACAAACCACACATGTCTGCACCAGTGATTACAAAATTAGGAGCTTATAAATCAGTGAGTGGGAAAGCCATGAAATGCAAGTTTGATGACAGCTTCAAGTCTGTTGGAGATGAAAATGCTCCTAATAGATAATGTGTTGTGTGTAATCAAGTATTAGCAAACAGCAGCTTAAATCCTGCAAAGCTGAGGATGCACTTGGAAACGCAGTGATTATTTTAAAAGAAAGCAAGATCAGTTGCAAAAAACTAGTGTTTCTTTACAAAAAAATTTACTTAACAAGACAACAAAAATGAAATTGAAGTTTCATATCGCTAAGGCTCATGCAATTACGGAATTTTTCATGAAACCGTGTGCGAAAGACATAGTGTCCTGCATGTTGGGATATAAATCTAGTAAGATTCTTGAACTGTTCCTTTGTCAAACCACACAATCTCTCATCGCATTAAAATTATGGCAAATAACTGTGAATCAGTGTTAGTAAGTCATATGAGAAGCAGTGAAGTTGTTTTACCATGCAACTTGGTGAGTCAACTGATGTGGCAGGATTAGCTATCCTTCTTGTATTTGTATGCTACATATTTTAAGAGTCCGTGCATGAGGATGTGTTATTGTGCCAAGCTATTGAAACCACAACAAAAGGTCAGGATATATTCAACATCTTGGACACTTTCACACAAAGAAATAAACTCAGTTGGGATCTCTACATAAATGTTTGCACTGACTGTGCAAAAGCAATGACAGGCAAAGAAAAAGGTGTATTGGCTCTCATCAGAAATGTTGCACCTGCAGTAGAAGCTAGACACTGTTGCCTTCATAGAGAAGCTTTAACTGTGAAAAAGATGTCAAGTGAACTAAAAGTTATACTTGATGAAGTAGTCAAGGTAGTAAGTTTCATCAAAGCTAGACCACTTAATTCGAAGGGCGGATCCAGGAAAATCAAGGGGGGGGGGGGGAGAAGTTGTGGGTGAGGGAACATGGCAAGCAAATCAAGCCCCCCCCCCAGAATTCTTTTTAGAAAATCTGACCAATATCATGGGCATTTTGAAGCCATGTGTACTTGATATTGGGAGATATTCTGATGTCAATAGTACAGTAAAGTAATTACTTGTTACTATACAAAAATGCCTGAGTATAGTACTGCATTAAAGAAAAAGAATTGCTCTGTGCCAGGAGATGGCTCTCCACTCATACTGCTCTGTTACTACACACAGAAGTGCGTTGGCTATTCCGCAGCAAAATTCTTTCACGTGTGTATGAACTGTGAGATGAGATTCAAATCTTTCTGCTGGAAAAAAAAAAATATGTCACGTAAAGTCACTGATGAAGTCTAGTAAAGGAAACTGGCCTATTCAGCACCTAAAATAATTAAAGAATACTTTGAGAGAGTATTTTCCCAAGGAACCAGAACCTCTAACATGGCTGAGCAATCCATTCATGGATTCTGGTACTGTAATGGAAAAAAATCTGTCAATAAACGAAACAGAGCATTTAACTGACATATCAACTGACCTCACACTCAAAACTATATTTGATAAGGACTCACAGCTTACTTTTAAGATAAAGCTTTTACATGAACATCCTGGTATTACAAGAGAAGCTTTGAAACATTTAATGCTCTCTGCAACAACATATATGTGTGTGAAGCCGGCTTCTCACTCTACATCGCTACCAAAAACAAATAGAGAAACAAGTTGGATGAAACACCTGATACGCGCCTGCAACTGACAAGCATCCTTCCAGATTTTGATGGACTCTGTCACCAAAAACAAGACCACTAAAAATGGTAAGAATCATGATGTTGTGTAATAAAGGGTGTAAACTCGTGTTAACTTCTTCATACAGTAGAGATCAAGGGTTTAGGTACAGTTCCAAAAAGCAACAACAGATATGAAAGGGTTCCAGTGGTTGTGAAAGGTTGGGAACCACTGCCCTAAGTTAACGAGCTGCATGACCCAGTATCAAGGAATAATCCAAGAAGACCTGATAACTCCCCGACTGCACTGGCTGACCATTACCCCAGAACATGATCCGCAAATCGATTAACATCCAGGTTTCCAATTACTGTATGGTTGGGTAGACAGAGGCAAATGGCATAAAGAAACTTGCCTATAGTTTCACCCTATCCAGGAATCAAACCCGGGATCACTCGTTTGTAAGGTGAGCATGCTGACCATTACACTAAAGGTAATCATTACAACAAGTACAGAACCAGAAATTACTGAAATTACAACTTAATGATCCCTCATTTGTTGAACTAAATTCACCGTCAAGTTTTCTTTTTCAAAAAACAATTTTTCTGGCAGATGATAGAGGTGTTCAGGAGATATGATAGAGGTGTTCAAGTGGGTAAGTGGGATTAACAAGGGTAAAATGGAAGATGTTCTGAAGCTCAGTAATAACAGAAATAACTAGAACAAATGGCTTTAAATTAGATAAATTCCGATTCAGAAAGGATATAGGCAAGCACTGGTTTGGTAATAGAGTTGTGGATATGTGGAATAGGCTACCGAGTGCTATAGTAGGATCGGGGGCGCTAGGGAGCTTCAAAGACGAAGTTGGATAGGGCACATGGAAGTGCTGGGATGGTGTGAAAAGGGATCTGCCTGTATGGGCCAGTGGGCCTCTGCGGTATCCCACTTTCTTATGTTCTTATGTTCATTCATTTTCTATAATGGATCACCGGAAGATTAGCCCACCTAAGCTTATTTCACTTCAAGATTAACCACCCTAACATTAACACTAACCCAATTTAACAACTTAATCGAACATATGCTAGTCTAATCTAACCTAATTATACAGAACCTATCCTAACCCCCAAGTAACATTAGGTTGTTTATTATTCAAGTGAAATAAGCTAGGGACCTAATTTTTAGGTGATCCCTAATAATTGCAGTCTAGGTTTCTAGGATGTGAAACTACTCCCCATATGAGCTTAGTTGTTGACAAAATAGAAATACATACCGGTACAGGGAACAAAGAACAACAGTACTGATCTTACCTACATTAATACACAAAGTGAATAAACAATATCTCTCAAGGTCTTTACATTTTCTGCTTACAAGAGAAACCAAGCAACTAAATACTACAGTATAACAACAAACTGTTTTGTGTTAATCAGCTACAGCCTACACAGATCACCAGAAAATTAGTCCCTCAGCTTGTTTTACCTGATGATTAAGCACCCTAGTACTACCTGGGGGGTTAGGGTAGGCCAAGTTAGGTTAGCATTAGAGTGGTTAATCTTCAGGTGAAATAATCTAGCAAGGCTAGTTTTCATTTCATCCACCCACACAAAAATCCTTAACATATTATAAAATCAAACGAATAGAATACTTTATCTATTTAAAGGAAACACGATAGAAAAATTACAATTTGTCATAAATCACTTATAAATACCATTAACATTTCCATATTCATGTTAATAATAATGTGTATAATGTATAACTCATCTTCTTATTGATAAAACAATAAACAATGATAAAAATGATTAATTTATCTCAAAAGGCTTTACACAGTATTTTTAAGAACATGTACAGGACAAAATGGTCAATTTATAGTAGAGGACATAATTCGATATATTGGGGGTTTTTTTATTGGCTAATGATAAGTTCAGACAAAAAAAAATCATCTATGACACTTATTGCTGTCTTAACTCATTTTACTCATAACCAAGATATTGGGAGTTGAAAATCCAAAAACTACCTGTACTAGAAAAGCTATAATTTTGCCACCAACCAAATCTCGTGATTTTTTCTTTGCAAACAACAGTTTTGGCAATTCTAAGAAACTAATTCTGTAATTTTTCCCTCGCAAATGACCTAGAACTGAGATATTTAATATGCTGGAGGGTCTGTCCCCCCCACCACCAGCTTATGAAGTTCGGTAAGGTTAGGTAGGTTTGGTTTATGCTAGCAACCTTGTTTTATTAATTAAGTTATCCTAACCAACCCAAATTATCTAACCATTACGTAACTTCTAACCCCAGGAAACCCTTGCGAGGGAAATGTCACAGTGAAAAGTGTCTTAGAATTCTCTAAACTATTATTTGCAGAAAAAAAATCATAAGGTTCGGTTGGTGGCAAGAAATACAATAATAGCTTAGAATTTTTCTAGTAGTTTTCTAATTTTCAATTCACGATATCTCGGTTATGGGTAAAATGTGAGAAAGTGTCATAAAAGAAAATCGTCTTTTTTTCTGAATTTATTATTAAATAAAACAATAACCCACCATTTCTTGCCATCTAAGTTATGAATAGAGACCACCAAAAGTGTCACGGATGAAAATCGTCTTGATTTTGTCTGAACTTATCATAAGCAATAAAATAAAAAAATCCACTATCGCATTATATTGTCTCCTATAAATTGAGGTTAATATTTAGTAGTTGCCAACACCTACTTATATACAGTAATATCTCCGTTAGTGGAATCTTTCAAACCCGGAACTCTCCGATAGCTGGAATTGAAATTTTCTCGGAAAAACGTTCCCAAGGCTGGAGTTTTCTGGAAAATTCCGGTTTTGGGAACAATTTTCCGAGGCGTATATTTTCCAGAAAATTCAGAGAAAATTTTCCCGATACCCAGAAAATTCCCGGGATAAGGGATATTTTTCGGGGTTCAAGAGATGATGTAATGGGCAATTTCCGAACTCTGCCAATTCCCGAAAATTCGGGATGAGGATATTTTTTCCTGGTTTCAGAGAGTCGCTCTCATATCCGGAAATCTTTCTATTACCGAAGTGTTTCTAACCAATTGTTCTGGCTAACTGAGATATCACTGTATTAAGTCAATCGTGTTTTCTTCAGAAATTAATTTTTAGTATTTTTAACCAATAAAATTACCCACAACATTACTTCATTAGTTGTTCATAGTGGGCAGGCCTTTTAAGTAGAGGGAAAGTGTAGGGTAAAATACTAAAAAGAACACCAAACAAACCTTTGAAAACCTGACCTAACCTTTCCTAACTTGTAAAAATGTTTAGAATCACTTGAGTTTAAGGATCCTTCCTCATCTGAACACTTTTAAACATACCATCACCTACTAAACACTGAAACCAACACCATCACCTACTAAACACTGAAACTAACACCATCACCGACTAAACACTGAAACCAACACCATCACCTACTAAACACTGAAACCAACACCATCACTGACTAAACACTGAAACCAACACCATCACTAAACACTGAAACCAACACCATCACCACTTAAACACTGAAAACCAACACCATCACTCTACTAAACATCGAAACCAACATTATCACCGACTAAACACTGAAACCAACACCATCACCGATTAAACACTGAAACCAACACCATCACCATCAAACACTGAAACCAACACCATCACTATTAAACACTGAAATCACCATCACCGACTAAACACTGAAACCAACACTATCACCTACTAAACACTGAAACCAACACCATCACCTAAACACTGAAACCAACACCATCACCGACTAAACACTGAAACCAAACACTATCATCATTAAACAATTGAAAACCTTAGTAATATTTTATAGTTTAGGATTTTAAAGATTAGGAAAAGTTAGGTATATTTCAAAAGTTTGTCTGGTGTTTTTAAGTATTATACCCTACAATTTCCTTGTACTATAAAGCCCTGCCCACTTTGAACAAGTAATATTGTTGGATATTTTATCGGTTAAAGTAAAAAAATATATATATTTCCGATGGAAACATTATACTGTACTGTAGATTAAATTATTCTTATTTTTTTTATCCTCTATAAGATGTTGGCAACTTCTAAATATTAACCTAATTCTACCAAGAAAAACTAAACATATAGTAACAATAAAACTTAAATTATATATATATATATATATATATATATATATATATATATATATATATATATATATATATATATATATATATATATATATATTATATATATATATATATATATGTATATATTATATTCTGTATATTTTCTGTATATATATATATATATATATATATATATATATATATATATATATATATATATATATATATATATATATATATATATATATATATATATATATATATATATATATATATAAAGGGCCAAATTTGAAAGATTTTACAGTATTTGGAATTAAAATTTTTGTTTAGTGCATTAGGACGCTGAAACGAACTTACTTATATTTAAATAATGTCATTAGAAAGCTGAAACTAATATATTTATAAATTAATACTTATTATCAACCAGATGGTCAACCACTTTAATTACTGTACACAGTAACTAAATACCTCTACTATATACTGCATGTCAACCCTGCTTTATGTCCCACATTCTCATGCTTCCATGTTTACGCCGCATGCCGAAACCGGAATGTCTACATTCTTCAAGGTGCGTGTACCCTTTATGGAGAGCGGCGCGAGCAGGGCGCGACAAGGTCGCCCCAGTCATCAAACATTACCAGTTTCACCCGCCACCCACCACAGCCGCCTGGGTCAGTGATAGTGATAATTATAGTGAGGATATGGACTTATATGGACTTTGAGGGATTGAACAAAGAGGCCCTGCAAGCCTCTGTGGTGGATGTGATAAATTGATATGACAGGTGAGGGCCAATAATCTGTCCTTCTGCTCGAACCAACCCCCATCTCATGTGCCCAGCCATCTTTTCTACTAATGTATGTAAGTGTTAAAAAACCTACATTTGATATTTCTAATTATTAATCTAGGTACCATCATAAAATTAAGAAGTTATTTTTACTACAACGAGGTATTGGTCTGAAAAAGTGGAGTTTAGTCGCCCGTCTCAATTTCAATTAATCCCATATGTTATGTTGTTCACTTTACGTACGCCTTGTTGAATTAACTGCAAAGTGAGGGTTCACTGTACTGGCAATCAGACAATAAAAATTACTGTCATTTTTTTTTTGGGGTGTTCTCTAGTGAACTTGGAGTTTGTTTACAGGGCTGTGAGGGGTTGCATACACATGACAAAAGGTTGGCACAGCTACCTATACCTCAAAGGAAGACAATCTTTCTGTAAATATTAATACGGTGTGTGTGGAGGGGGAAGAGACTCAATTAGTCTTTCTGTATAACCAAAAGTGTACTCTACCATTAATCCTCATCATCTCCATACCTACTCCCTCCAAGCACTCACCTCGCCAGGCAATAGAGGATAGCCAGTGAGCAGCTCGGCCAAGATACACCCGAGAGACCAGATATCAATGGCCATCCCATACTTAGCTACCAAGATGACCTCAGGGGCACGGTAGAAGCGGCTTTGGATGTAGGTATATACTCGCTGATTCTCCAAACAGGACGAACTGGTTTCGATAACCTGTGGAGGAAGGTTATGTTAAGATCAATCGTCATTATTCATTACCATTAAAATAATAACAATAATATCTGTAATTATAATTGTATATATATATATATATATATATATATATATATATATATATATATATATATATATATATATATATATATATATATATATATATATATATATATATATATATATATATATACAGTGGGGTATGCTATAATGAATCTCATTGGTTCTAGAACCTCGTTTTGATAAAGCATTCGTTCATTAAGGGTTATCCGTCAGGCCCCCAACTACAACCATCTAACAATGAAAAAATGTAAAATTGTAAAAATTGTAAAAGTGCATAAATGTGCATTTAAACTCCAAATAAAGAATATCATTAATACTTGTAATAAAAGAATAAATTAGTACAAAAAATAATAAAATTACTGTTTGTTGTAGGAGTTTCTGCTCATATAGCATTTTCAATTATAGGGAAAAATCAACAAGATAGGAATATTCGTATAAACCGTCACATAGCATACCCTACTGTGTGTATATATATATATATATATATATATATATATATATATATATATATATATATATATATATATATATATATATTTATATATATATATATATATATATATATATATATATATATATATATATATATATATATATATATATATATATATATATATATATATTTCATTAGCCCAATAAAGCACGCGGACTTTTACATACAATCAACACTTTCAACCCGCCTAGGATTCAACCCACGCCCATGTGTTTGCATGAGACTGGGGAACGTAACCGCTGGACCACTGTAGTATTAAAGCAGTCCTAGACTTTTGTTATATTTCACAAAGCTTGGTTCAACCGAGCTTATGGCCGTGAACTCTATAATGAACCACGCGATCACTTGTGGTAGGTAACGTTACCAATCCGCCAAAACATTGAGGATCCATAATATTTTCATTAGCCCAATAAAGCACGCGGACTTCTACATACAATCAACACCTCAACCCATCAGATTCAACCCACGCCCACAAGCCTATGACTGTGACTGGGAACGCTAACTGGCTGGACCAATTTGTGAGTTAAAAGCAGTCCTAGACTTTGTTATATTTCACACAAAGCCTGTTCAACGAGCTATACCGAGAACCTTGTATGTAGAAGTCCGCTGCTTTATTGGGCTAATGAAATATATGTTCCTGTGTCTTGCCGATTTGGTAAAAGTTACTCTGACCACCTAAGTGATACGGTTCATTAATCCTTATCCAAAATCCTTGGGACCAGATGCATTTTTTTTGGAATTTGATTAGAATGGTTAGTTTTTTTTTTTCTTTTTTTTTTTCTTTTTTTTTTTTACAGGATCAGCCCACCGGGCAGCAGGTCACTGACTCACATTGGGGCCTTGGGTAAAAATATAATACTACTACTACTACTACTACTACTACTACTACTAATAATAATAATAATAATAATAATAATAATAATAATAGAACAAGAAATGTATAGTTTCTCACTTTTGATCTTTTTTTCATTCTTGTATTTCTTTTATTATTATTATTATTTCATTATTACAGTAATTGCATTATTGTTATTATTATTATTATTATTATTATTATTGTTATCATTCTTATTTTATTTTTGTGTATTTTTATTAAAATTTTTATTTATTATGAATAATTATTATTATTATAGTCATTATTATTATATTATTATTACCGAGTATATAATTATTATTACTATTACATTTTCATCCTGAGGCCCATGTGGGTCAGTGACATGTCTGCAATAACACCCACATAATAATAATAATAATAATAATAATAATAATAATAATAATAATAATAATAATTTATAATAATAATATTAATAATAAAAAAAATTGTTCAATAAATTTTTTTTCGGTTTTCGAATTTGATAAAGAGTTGTCAACCTGTATATATATATATATATATATATATATATATATATATATATATATATATATATATATATGTATACAGAGGGGTATGCTATAATGAACGCTTTATATAACGAATATTCCTATAACGAACGGTTTTTCCTATAACACTGAAAATGCTATAACGAACGAAACTCCTACAACGAACAGTATTTTTTATCATTTTCTCTCAGCTAAATAAAACTGTCTGGCATTGGCCTGAATAAAATCCCTAAGTGGGCCGCTGCCCTCTAAACTCTAAAGGATAGACTCGCCTGACAATGATCCATAACCTAACCATCCCTATTTACGTATCACCTGAAAATTAGACACACCAGCTTAATTTACCCAAAGATTAATCACTCTAACGCAAACCTAAACTAAATTACCCAAACCTAATGTAAATCAACCTAACCTAACCCGATTTAACATAACCTAACTTTACCTATCTTAACTTAACCGAACTTAATATAACAACCCACCCTAATAAATTTAACCCAATCTAACCATACATAACCTAAAGTAAACTATCTTAACCTAACCTAGACAGGTAGCGTTAAGATGGTTAATCATCAAATGAAATTAGCGAGGGAGGGGCAAATCTTCAGGTGACCCATATTTACTTGAATGACCAATTAATATTCTAATTTATGTCAACTAGTTCTCAGTATGGAACACAAGTCACTCCTAGATGAGACAGTCACGTTGGGAAAACAAACGGAAACAAACATAAGAAATAATCAACAAACAGAAAGTATTATTGATGTTAAAAGTTACTTTTAAAAAAGTAGTTTTAATTAAGATTGAATGTTTGTGTGTGTGTGTGTGTGTGTAGCACACAGGGTGGTGAAATGCATCTAGTGTGGCAGCATTATGTTAGTGTTAAGCTGCAAGCACTGCTTGCTCCCCCTCGCTTTCGGCGGCCGCTGCTGGCTAGCACTCATGACGAACAGGGAAGCAACTTGCATAAGTCTTCCTCTACCAGTACACAGCCTTCTCACCATCAAGACTCTTGCTGTGCCTCCTCGTGGCAACACACGGTAACTAGGTGCCTCGTGGGCCCAGGATAGACCAGCAAGGGATCTTGGAGTAGCAGTGGGCCCCAGAGAGACGGCGCATAGGCCCACTGGCATGTGGGCACATTCTGCCGCCTACCAGCCATTGCCCCGCTGCCTTGCGTATTAACTTTGGTAGGTGTAAGGCTACGGGAGAAACCCCAAACGAAAAATCTGCGGTGGAGCCCCGCATCAGGCAGACATGCTTACAGCGCTCCAACAAGACCCCAACGGCAGTACAGGCGGAAGAGGTAACCACCATGGAAACCCAACAACTACACCGGCGGACGAAGGCAATGCCTGGTGGACAGGCTACTAAGGCGAAACCCAACAAACTGGGCTATTGGCAGTCCATTGCAACTCTCCCTCTCCCCAGTCGTTGCAACACTTGCACCACTGGATTAGGAAAAGGGAGAGTCAATATGTGTGTTGCAGCTTGCGCTCCTGCCTCACCACATATATATAAAACTCACGTGCAGCCCTTATGAGGAGCCACTCTGCTCACCCCACATGAGGAGGAGGCTAGAAAAGGTGCCCTAAACATAGCCTGCCTAAAAACCCAACCTGACTGGGCAACCGCACCCAGTAAGGTCATCCTAATGCAGTCAAACACACAATCACAGACCCAAACAAAAACAAACAATACAACCTCTTGTGGTCACTGCATGGAATGTCAGGACCCTTCTGGATACTGGCACAAATGGGCATCCTGAAAGAACTGCCCTTGTGGCAAAAGAGGTGGCTAGGTTTAACATCGACATAGCAGCCATTAGTGAGACCCAGCTCCCAGATGAGGGCCACTCACAGAACTGGGTTCTGGTTATACCTTCTTCTGGAAGAGTAAGCCTGCTGCGGAGAGAAACAGCATTTATGGAGTTGGCTTTGCCATCCGCCAACGCATCCTACATAGGCTAACTGAAATGCCTATTGGGATCAATGAGCACCTCATGACGCTTCGAGTCCCAGTGAATCACTCATGTCATGCCTTTTTCATCAGTGCAAGCGCCCCAAAACTGGATGCAGAGGATGACATCAAGGAGGCCTTTTACGCCGACCTCGACAGAGTGCTAACCTCTATCCCCAGAGAAGACAAGGTTGTGCTCCTTGGCGACTTCAATGCCAGAGTTGGCGGAGAAGCTAACATTTGGCAGGGAATCCTAGGGAGAAATGGGCTAGGGAAGTGTAATCCCAACGGCCTACTGCTCCTCAGCAAGTGTGCTGCACACACATAACTGTCACCAATACCTTGTTTAGGCAGGCCGACAAGTTCAAGGGTTCGTGACAACACCCACGATCCAAACACTGGCATCTCATTGACTACACCACTGTCAGAGAAAGAGATCGCCGAGATGTCCTCATCACCGGTGCCAGGCGTGGCTCAGACCACTGTAACACTGATCATCGACTTGTCAGAGCCAAGCTCTCACTTCACGTCACTCCAAAACAACGAAGGTTTTTTTTTTTTTTTTACGGGAATTAGCCCACCCAGGCACAGGTCACTGACCCACATCGGGACCTGGGGGGGGGTAATAATAATAATAATAATAATAATAATAATAATAATAATAATAATAATAATAATAATAATAATAATAATAATAATAATAATAATAATAATAATAATAATAATAATAAAGAACCACAAAGAAATACAAAATGAAAAAAAATCAAAAGTGAGGAATAATATATGTATGTTGTGTTGTCAATAGTAAAAGAAACAATTGAGACTCTGCAATTATGTGTAAATGAGGCAGAAAGTCAGAATAGCAACCTGGGACTTGGTCACAATTTTCGTGATGCCATGTGGCAGCAAGATCTACCATAGACAACACATTATGCTTCCAATATCTTCCCAGGCGGTAGTACCTCCCTGTTTGGCAGCTGCCTCCAGAAGAGGTTTTAATTCTAAGTGTCTGGAGGATCCAGTGGTAGCACATGCTTTAAGAGAGCAGCTTGAACATGGGCTTATGAACAACCCAACAGCAAACAACGTGAATCCCAGTGCCGAATGAGAT